ACCATACATATTGAAAAAACGAAATGACAAAACAGAACAAAATTACGTACAACTTTTGACTAAAATTAAAATTGAAAATATAACAATAAAAACTGATTCAAAGTATTAATCAAAACTATAAAAGTATATTAATGCCTCCACTTTTTGAATACAGGGTTATTGTTAACTACAATCAAATCATTTTATTAATTAAAAATAATTTTCTTTTTGATGATTTGATTTTAGCTAGGCAACATTTATTTTCATTTAAATAAAATATTTGCTGAAATAACATTTAATAAACTACATACACATTTTCTTTTTAAAAAACAGACACTAATGAAAAAAAAAACACGGGACAAAATTACAAAAACTTTTAAAGTTTTTTTCTAAATTTAAAATGAAAACAAAATCTAAAAATCAAAACTCATTCAAAATATTAATAAAAACTGTAATAGTATATATTGTAATTTTATATTATCATAGAATACTTATTGTAACATTCAAAAACAGGCATTTTCTGTGCAGCTGCTTTGAAACAATATGCATTGTTAAAAGCGCTCTACAAATAAACTGAATTGAATAATGTCTCTATGTGTTTGTCTGTCTCTCGGTGCAGTCGTTTCACTGTAAAACTGTCAGGAAGATGCCGTTTAACCACATGGACCCGAGCTGTACGGTGGGTTTCTACGCCGCCAGCAGGGGGGATTTCCAGACTCTGTGCTCAGACGTCACTGAGGTTAGTAGCTTATCGGCCTTTCAGATTATACGTCCGAAATCCTGCGATATCAGTATCTCTGTTTTTGATTTGATGGACAGGCTCTGACATCATCGGAGGAAAAGTACCCCATCTTCACATTTGTGGAGGGTCATAATAACGCAGAGAGAAGCTGTACGTCAGACTCAGTCACTCATATAAAGACCAAAGACAGACTGGGCCGAATCAAAAAGAAAAGCTGTTTGGATGAATTTGTGCTCCTGTGATGCACAAACTTTATTTCCTGTTTGGATTCTCCAGTACTTCCTCCAATTTGAGTCATGTGATCAAGATTGCCACACTCACTGGCATGTCAAGGAGAGCTGGACTATTTTGTGTGTCCAAAACGTGGGTGAAAGTGGGTGCTTTTGCTCTTTGAGTATTTAAACGTGAGTTTTTACAGACTGCTGCTGTTATTTTCTTGTTTTTCTGTAGTTGTCATGTGTAAACGCACCATACAGGAGGATGTGAAGAGTTCGGGGAGCAGGTGGCTAAGCAGATTAGCGTGGATGTGTTTGGTGTGACGCTAATGACAGCAGACGAGAGGTGCTGACGTTACTCTTTGACAGGCAAACATGGGATTTGGCTGCTGTAAACACTGTGATTTAGTCTCTTGTTTATGTGTTTTGCTGTTTGACTAACTACTGTATAAACGGAAAGCTTTTCCCTAAAATGTGGATGTTTCCGAGATAAAGTAAAACAGGTCTGGGTCACATTTTTTTTTTTTGGTGTTGTGTTCTGGTTACGCACATTTCTACCCAAATTCTTATGACATGCGTTTTCATTACCAATGCTTTTGAGGTGTTTCATTTCCTGTATTCTCGTTATTCTTAGAGTTGATTCTAAGAGTTTTCAATAGTTTTTTTTTTTTTTAAGTGTAGCATGAAAGATAGACATTTTTGTAGAGTTAAACAGACCAGTTTAACTTCTCTGGTTAAGCAACAACTACTGATGAAAATCAATATCAGTTATCAGTATCAATTCAAAATTCATTTTATTTCTTAATGCAATCTGGTATTATTGTGAACAAGCCTTTTATTAACAAAAATAATAATAAAATATTTATTCATGATTTATCCCCTGCAATTCCCTCTTGAACCCTCTGGGGTCTCCAAAGTCATGTCGCAAATTGGACATGACCGGCCTCTTAAGTTGTATTCACATCTGGGAAACTTGTAGATAATTTTGATACTTGACTTTCCAAACCATGAACTTTAAACATGCAAAAAGACCGAAGTATTTATAGTACTTGACTGAGACCTCAGAATCGTCAGCAAGATGACTATCTAGTGCGGGTGTGCCTCACACGCCATGAAAAGTGAAGCTGCGGGCTCTTTGATCGCCCCCTGGTGGCTGGCTGCAGTAAATGTCATAAACCCCGCCCTCTCCATGTAAACGAATGGGACTTGAGTCAAAATAAAAAAATTAATTATGACGAAGTCACTTCCTGTTTGTTGCTGCCGTATGTTTTGAGTTTGAGCTCCGTCAAGTTAATTCTTTGTCGTCAAATTTTTTATCTTAAAATCAATTTTATACACCATCATTTTCGTTTCTATAACGTGTGAATATATCCCCTATCGTATTCTACAACAAAAACAATCAGAGCGCCTTGTTATCACTAGTTCTATTTTTGACTTCCCGAGTCTGCTATTAGCATATAGCCCGCTAGCATCGCCAGCGTGGTTGCCGCTAATCTCGCTTACATTACTAATACACTACTCACTGTTACTTGCTTTAATGGTGGATGTGTGTCTACCTTTGAGTGCAGGTGAGGACACGAGCTGGAGGCCGTGGAGAAGCAGATCCGTGACCTGGTGGCGAAGCAGACCCAGCTGAGAGAGCGGAGAGCCGCGCTGGAAACATCCCAGGCTGACGCTCACAAGTCCGAGGTAAGTATACAGCGCGCTGCTAATTCTCCCACCACCTCTACTCCGTGTGTTTCTCTGCACAGGCCCGGTGCACCCAGGACGCGATCTTCCCAGATGTCCTTCACTCCGGCGCCGGGACACCACGGACCAAAATATTATCATATTACCCCAATTTGACAGTCTCTGCACTGGCTACCTATTAAGTTCCGTATCAGTTACAAAATATTATTACTTGCCTATAAGGCCCTTAAT